TAGGTAGGTAGGTAGGTAGGTAGGTAGGTAGGTAGGTAGGTAGGTAGGTAGGTAGGTAGGTAGGTAGGTAGGTAGGTAGGTAGGTAGGTAGGAGCACTCAGAGCTAGCTAATGTCGACCCTTGCGTATCTAGTCACGTTCCCTGACACGTATACCCGCATACATGCACACGTACACGCATACACGCACACGTACACGCATACACGCACACGTACACGCATACACGCACACGTACACGCATACACGCACACGTACACGCATACACGCACACGTACACGCATACACGCACACGTACACGCATACACGCACACGTACACGCACGCACTCACACAGTCTCCGCGTGTTCTGTCCTCCTTACGCACTCTCCGCGTTCCTCCCGTCTTGCAAGCAGGGCTTTTCTCCCCTTGCCGTGACCGCTGCGATTCCTTCCTACGTAACAGTCCGCTGTAGATCAACTAGTAAACCTTCTTACCTTCAGCAATACCGCCACCGCCACATGCACCATTGACTTTCGAGCGCATGTAGAGGCACGCCCGCCGATTGGGCGGTTTGTACGCACCGCGTATAGACGATACCAACGCCCTGTGTGTGGCGAGGATAAGCACAGAGCGAAACGACGTGGTGGTCAGTCTAGGGTCGCGCTGCATATGGGCATGCGGCGTGTAACAATGGAGCAGGTGCGACAAAGGGTGAAGCGGGCCGCAGCGTAACACTAGCGTACACTGCACGCCCGTGCGGCGAGGGAGGGAGCGAGGACTACGCGGTGATGGAATGTTTGTACGCCATCTGGCCCGAGCAGCAGCAGCAGCCGCCGCAGCAACAGGAGTAGCAGCAGCAGCAGCAGCAGTAACAGAAGTAGGCACAGTAGCAGCAAAAACAGCAACAATAGCAGCAGTAGCAACAGCAGCAATAGCAGTAGCAGCCACAGAATCAAGGGCAATAGCAGCAAAAACAACAACAGTAGCAGCACCAAAAATAACAATAGTAGCATCAGTAGCAACAGCAGCAACAACAACAGTAGCTACAGCAGCAGCAGCAACAACAACAACAGCAGCAGCAGCAACAGTAGCAACAGCAGAAACAACAGCATCAGCAACAACAACAACAGCATCAGCAGCAGCAGCAACAACAGCATCAGCAGCAGCAGCAGCAGCAACAGCTACAGCAACAGCAGCAGCAGCAGCAGGAAAGGAGGCGAGTGGATGGCGTTGATGGAAAGGCGCGAGAGAGGAAGGGACGAAGGAGGTCGGGGGGAGGGGTGAAGGGAGAAGGTGGAGGGAGAGGAGAGGGGCGAGCGACCGGGAGGGAGCGAGTAGCGCCGTAACATAAACGTGTTTAACAAGAGCGCGGGCGTGCGTTCGCTGCGCACGGCACCTGTCTACATATTACGATTTTACTAGTCGAGGACAAATTTCCCTGACTCGTTAGAGATCTATGATGCACGCGCACGGTACTATACACGGAAACACAGCACGTCCCCCTACCCGTTAGCATTGGACACTGTGCATAATCTTAGTGGCGAAGGCGCGTCAAATTGCAGTGACCGAGTTTTAATCATGGGTAGCCTACATTTGCCTAAATGATTTTACTTGTTGTGCTACCTGCCTGTTTTACACGCACACATGCACGCACGCACACACGAGATCGGCATCGCCTATTGTTTGCCTGTTTCATCTTCTGCGTGTGCGTCTTTTTTCTACCTCTATTTTGCTCTCTCACCCTCACTCGCGCATTCTATCGCACTCTCTCCTTCTCCATCCTCTCTCTCGCTCTCTCGGATCAGATCTCTCTCGATCTCTCTCTCTCTCTCTCGTCTTCTCTCTCTCTCTCTCTCACTCACACGGCGCATTTATCGAACTTCTCCCTTCTGCGCATTCTCTCTCGTCGCTCTCCTTCGGCCGTCACACCGCGCATTCTATCGCACTCGATCGCGCTTCTCCATCCTCTCTCCTCGCTCTCGTCTTTCTCTCTCTCTCTGATCTCTCTGCTCTCTCTCTCATCTCTCTTCTCTCACCCTCCCGCGGCGTACTTGCCTAGTCGCAGCTCCTCGTGCCTTAATCCATTCTGCTCTTCTCCGCTCTTCGCTCTCACACACAGCGCGATTCTAATTGCACTCTGCGCCCTTTCATTCCTGCTCTCTCGCGCTCTCTCACCTCTACGGTCCTCCACGGCGTATTTATCGCATCCCTCTCCTTCTCCTAATCACTCTGCTCTCGCCTCTTTGCGCGTCTCACACAGCGGCGGCTTCTATCGCACTCTTCACCCTTTCTCCATCCTTCTCTCTCTCTATCTCTCGGTCTCTCTCGTCTCTCTCTGCTCTCTCTCTCTTTCCATCTTCCTCTCTCTCTCTTCACTGCTCACACGCGTATTCTATGCGCACGTCGCCTCCTTCTCCATGCCTCTCTCTCGCTTTCATTCTCTCTTACGCCTCCACATCTCCCCGCGACTCTCTCGCACTCTCGCGCGATCCCGCCAACGCTCTTCCCCCTGCTCTCGACTCTCCGCTATCACTCCCGGCGCATGCTCTTCCACGCGTGGCGCGAGGCGTTTCTCATGCTTCCGGGCATTTTCTCATCTTTTTGACTCTGGGCTCTGCTCTCTGCTCTCTCTCTCTCTCTTCTCTCTCTGATCTACTTCTCTCGTGATTTACAATTTCCTCCCGCACAACTCTCGCTTACACACACCGCGCGCGCGCACACGGCACACAGCCCGCACGTGCACGCGCACGCGCAATGCAGCACCGCACGCGCACGCGCAGGTGCACGCAGCACGACNGACCCGCGACCATGTCCCGCACGACAACCGGGGTGGTGGAATCAGGGGCGGGGGGGCTGCCTGGCCGCTGGGGACGGCCGAAAAACGTTGCGTATTTACCATACTATTTTGCACGTTACAGACCGGAGGGCTAATCACAAAAGTGTGCAATTATATTGTATAGTCTAAATGTTATTTTACCGATACGAGTATTCCTTTTCAGGCAACAATTTAGTCCCATATATAAACTGAATACTATATACGTGAACTATAATTAAGCAATCCTTTTGCTTTTTAATTAGATAAATAAGAAACACCTCGGCTCTGTAAGCCCCTTGCTTGAAAAGTGTTTTGCGCAACTTCCTCAGATCGTGCGCTGGAGTGGCGCCACCGTCGTTGATTCAGATCGAAACTGTAAGTCGTTATTTTTAGAAACAGCTTTTTTAATAATATTATTCTATGTGATTGAAGACATAAGACCTTTTTTGATGTAAGCGTAATTTTAACAGCTATAATCTAGAAAATAACCCCAGAACGCTAGAGTACACTATCCCTTTAAATGTGATTATTGTCTCTTGGCAGGATACGTGCCGCGGAGGTGGATCCCTGTCTCTAACCTGGCTCTGAGCGGCGGACGCCCCTGCCGGCTACCTGGTACGAGAACAACATGCCAGATCTAAGCTGAGCATCAGGGGTAAAGCAGCACCACGCGTGGATCCACCCGCACTCAACAGCGCGAGGCCGGTGGGATCCTCACGTATCGTGCAACACCCACAGAAACCGTGCGTCGTACTGATTCATTTGATGTCTAAGATGTCACACACGCATACGTTAATCATACAGCTGTAGTCAGGGTTCTAGCCCTGGATTTTTTAGTGGCCAGCGTATCGCCCAGATCGCAAGATGCAAGGCGCCGAGTAGGGCACGAAGGTTCCAAAATCTAGCCATGCCCCCCCCCCGGTGAAATTTTAGAGTGATTTGGATAGTGTCTGAAACTCATTTCCTCGCATTCTGGCATAAAAACCCATATATCAACTGAACAAATTAATGTATTTTGATTCTTTTTTTTCCCTTTTTTATCTGGACAAGAAATTAGTGCCGGCGGAGATAACCACTCGTTTCTACTTATATGCCGGGCAACACGCCAACACACACACCGCGCCCACCGCTGGGCAGAACCGCGAGCACGTGAGTTTATCGCATGTTGCTGACGCGCCCATATTACTGACTTCTTTTTTCATCTTAGTTTCCGATATTGCATAGTTTCAGTATCGATTTAATCATGTCGATGGTATCTTGAGTAGTAACAATAATCATTTAACATCATGCAACCTAGTAATTGCAGCGCAGTGCATCGCTTCGCCTTGTATCCAAGTGCAGACGCAAGCCACCTGCGTGGAGCTCTTACCTACGACGACGCTCATCCCCCCAGTCGATTTCATGTACGCTAGGCTAACACATCCGCTGCTCGTCTTGAGCATCCGCCGCATCATCACCTGATGGTGGCCCCAGCGGCACAGGCAAGAGCCTAACCTATGTCAGCGGCTGCCGAGGTACTCCGTGCTGCGTGATTCTCACCTTCTCGAACTCGTGGTGTGTTTGTGTGTTTGCTGTGTTTGTGCGCACTGTATGCGCACGAGCAAGTGCGCTGGCCGAGTAGTCTCCACACACTAGTTATAGAACACCAACACAACACACTAACCAACACAAGTATTGGATAGGGCTCTAATTACATCTGGTAGAGTAACGAGTAGCTTTGGCGAGCCGAGAACGTTGATTGCGACAGAACCGTGCTGTTTACTCGACAGTGCAGTGCTAAATGTAAATGCTGGTGCCGCGTATGAGAGGAGAATGATGAATTTAATTGAACTAATCGTTGGAATCCTGATTATCCTGACACAGTACATCATATTCAGGAGAGTCGGGTCAAGTGTGATTTCAAGTAACAGCAACATGTAATCATTTATTGATTATACGCACAACATCTACGTAAGCATCAATATTATTATCAATACTACACTTAACACAACCCAACATAAAAAAACATCTGTAAGTAACATTGCGACTGTTGTACTATCGATAAGCGATTAATGACGCTCGGGGGGGATGCGTTGATTGCGAGTCGATAAGAGCTACAAAGACGAAAGGACAAAGAGCAAGAGTTTTCGCTCTGTAACCTCCTCTGCTTACCGGTTCGTCGAGTTCTCCTCGTCTCTGCTATTCTCGGCTGTCATGGCGCCGTTCAAATTTCGTAGCGTTGATGTGTAATTAATTATAACAATTAAATTAGGTATCTGGTAACAAATACGTGTGGGTATACTATAGACGATTTGTTATACAGTATTAAAGTACAGTTGTATGCAGTAAAATCCTAGAGTCTACTATCCCTTTAATAAAATAACAAAAATTTCCACGACTGTATCTAGAGATATATGTACATGTGAGTTTCGTGCTATAGTTAATGCAGGAAATGAGCGACTCGACTCACTCACTCTTTCTCCTCTCTCTCCACACACGCACAACGCACAATTACCTTGAATATCCTCCTCACTATATTGTCGAGCAGTTCCCACTTGGTCTTCCCGCTAACGAAGATGGATCCAATCAGAATGTCTGCTTGTTTGTCTGCCTGCAGGGACAGACGCAAACCGATTACACACCATGGTGATTTGCAATGCTTGCAAGAACATCATACACAAAATTGCTACGAGCAAACGTACTGCAAAATTTTCAACGACGCCAGATACAAAATTTGCAGTGATGCCATCTAAGAAACAGTTACGCTAAAAAATATCTGCAGAAGAGGAGAAAGATTGAACACACCATTCCGTATTTCCTCCTATACCTTAAGTTAAGGTGGAAATATTCCCCCTCCATTGACACATCTTGACCTTTGACCCTTGACCCCCCAAATTCGACATCCCCGAGTCCTTTTTGCGATCCCCCCCGACGTCTCAAATATCAAGACCGTACGTCGAGTGGTTAAGATTTGTGCCAAAATGTTGACGGACGGACGAAC